GAGCGTCGTTTTAAGAAATGATTTTATTAGCGCTTTTAATTGCCATCATTTTTGTAAGATTCATAGTTTTGGAAAAAAGGAATAATCAACAGCAAGGCCTTAAATTAGAAATTTGTCACTAAAAAGTAATGTATTATCAATGAAAGATAGAGTCGACGATTCATATTTAGATGCGGCTTATTTCTATAACGTGCGCTAAATTTATCTTATTTATACCATTGTAAATTTCAATACACACAATATCTTGAGACAATAAATCTATATTGAATGTTACGAGCAACATCGTCTTTGACTTTTCGTTTATAATTTCATTTTCCAGTTTATTTTTTCTCACCCATTTTCTCGATTTACACAAAATATTCCATCGTGTATAATTTAAATTAAAAACAACGACAAACATCTTTATCGACGATCAAAATCCAAATACGAATTAACTCTGTTGTTCGATAATCTTTGAAGAATCAAACTGCTTCAATGCGTAATAGTTAAATGGAAACGCATAAATAACTCGCTAGAGGACGCAATATTTTAAAAATAAATTTCACATTCAGAGGTTTCCCGTTTCCCGTTTCCCGTTTCCCTTTCCTATTTCAGAGATTCTCTTATATTTTAACAAGTCAATTCTTTATAACATGTTTCATGCCACGCGGCCATTGAAAAAATTTAAGCACAATATAATTTTATTAGCACAATGCTAATTTTTTGCCTTTATTAGCGTTAAAGCGAAAACTATATTCTAGAAACGCATACAAAAATGCCAAAAATTTTGCGACGCAACAACGATGCGAATTCGTTGTCCGTCTCGCACATGTCTGCTGGGAGCCCTGGAGAATTTTTACCTCCTCCCTCTCGAATCCCGAGGATGAAATGGCAAGAGATATTAGAAGAAGAACGTATCAGCCATATCGTAGGCTCCATACGCGAGGAAATAGTCCGATCGGCCGAGGAGGCGATTCGCGAAGGTTATTTGCGGAGAAGGATCTATGGCTTTGTTGTTAATTGCGCCCACGAGGCTTGGATGCGCGTGTTTCAGGTAAATAAAAAAAAGAAAACAACAAATTAAATAGCGTATTATTTTTACGCGACTGTTTTAGTGGGCGCATCTGCGATACGATGATGAAGGGATGATATCCGACGATTGGACACCGGATGATGATGAGACACCCTCACCGGTTGCTAAGGATCCTCGATTATCGCGAGGCGTCCCAACGATATACGGACGATTCGATAGATTAATTACAACTCAAAAATCGTCGAGTTATTGCAAGGCTCCTTGCGCGAAAGGTGCATCGCGCCGTAAAAACGAACGATTAAAATATAGTATGAAGATCCGTACGGATCCATAATTACAATAACCGTGCGATATTTTAATTAAGAGAGAAAATAGATTTACATAGAGATTTGTCGGCGCTGTGAAACAATTTTTTTCTAATCACAGTATATATATATACTCTATTCTGTTAAAAAAAGATAAATTCAATCCAGAGAATCGATTATATTTTTTCATATAATTTGCAGAAAATCATCAGTTTTTAGTAATCAATAAGGCAAAAATAATGAAAAGTTACGGAAATGCCAATAAACTCATTGCAATTACTCATGCGAATGTAAAAGTAACAACTTCACTCACAATGTCTCTTACACATCATTTCGGCATTATAAAAGAGATAACTGATTATCACGTCACGTCACTCGATTAACTCACTCGCGACGATTATTCGACACTTTTCACGGGCACTTTGCTAGCGAAACACCAACGACACACGTAACGGTCAAACTGACGAGTGACGAGCTGACCTGACAACTGACGATGACTTCGTTCAACTTGAACGGTTCAAGTTGAAAACTGTAACGCGCTCAAATATGGCGGACGCGCATGCGCGCGGTGTCTCTCGCACGCGCGATTAAAGTATCACGGATCACGGAGAAAGACGATTAAATACCGTCGCGATACCTCAATTAATGCATCACCAACGATTGCCCGAGACTCTCGATCAGCGTTCGCGGCACGCAGTTTGCTTCGACGAGGAAAACGCAAAAAATACGACGCGATCGAACCGCGAGTCCGAACAAACGTATTGCAAGTTGCAAATTGGTGCGTTTGCAACACGGCGCTCTACGCTCTACGCAGAATCATGGATACCGCGCATGCGCGTATCCGATCTGCACGCTATCTATCTTTTACCTTATCATGATACCCTATTATGGTTCTTGAAACGAGGTGATAATTACAAAAGTGAACAGATTTACTAGATTTTGACAAATGAAATTGTAGATACTCTAGCGAATTTCCTCACTTTTGTAATTTTTACTTGGTTCCAGAAACCGTAATAGGCCCCCTTGAGTATATAAATAATGCGCTTGCGCAGTCATCGTTCCCGCCATATTTATTCCAAATTGCAATAACGTCGCGTATTTCTTTTGTAAAAGATTGCTACGTACGAGAATGACGAATATATTTGAGTATCACGTGTCCCGAGTGAAATGTCGTATACCGTTATAACAGAAATTCCAGATACTTGACGATAAATAGTTACTTTTTGACGATATCGAGATCGCGTTTAGTGTGCAAATATGGCTGCGTTCCAATATTCACTGCCAGTACCATGTACCATAGACATAGTATATCTAGACCATAGACATAGTATATCTAGACCGAGTGTTGAGGAGTGGGGGCCAAGCGAAAGAGTACGCTATGCTACGTGCGAGCGAGAGAGAATGCAAGGAGCACGGAACGGAGTATATTCTTTTCTACGTTTGTATCTTTACCCCACTCCTTAAATAAAGGCAAACGCTTGGTCAAGATATACTATGTCTATGGTCAGTACTGAAAATCTATAGTGTACGTGACATAAACTATAGATTTTCAGTACTGGCAGTGAATATCGGAACGCAGCCTATATCACATAGATAGCGTGCAGATCGGACACGCGCATGCGCGGCCATGATTCTGCACAGCGCCGCGTTGCAAGTTGCAACACAAACACGTTTATTTGGACTCGCGGTTCGAGCGCACCATAATTTTCACGTTCCCCTTGTCGAAACGAACCATGTGTTGCGCGAATGCGGATTGGAAATTGCAAGCGATTGTTGGTGACGCTTTAATTAAGATGTAAGTCGGGAGTGTGATTGATATGATCATCTGTCCGATATTCTTATCGCGCATACGAGAGATACCGTCTCGCGGAGTGAATCACACGCGCGTTTGCCCTCTTTAAGTGCGCTACAAAGTTAGATCGAGCGCACGCGCGTCCGTCTGTCATGTTTAAGCGCGCCACAGCCACAGCGCGGAGTGAATCGCGTCCATAAAATCGCGCCACAGAGCCACAGACTTTTACTATATACAATAGTATAATTAGGACCGGAGCACAGACTTTTGCATAAAGAAATTGATTGGTCCATTTCCTTATGCTTATGGTTTTATGCGCTTATGCAAAAGTCTGTGCTCCCGCCTTTATGATGCATAGAAGTTATGGATCGCGCACGCGCGGGTTCGCCATGTTGCCTACTATATTTTCAAACGCAGTTGAGACCGATTTAGAGAGGTTTGCGAAGAGACCTACATTTTCATCCTAATATTGTTTGGAAAAGTGTAATTTTACGAAATCTTCTTCCCATTGGAAAACGAACAAGTAAATAAAACGGGCATAATATTAGCACAATTTCAATTCTTATAAATTTACACTAAGAAATTTCTTGCATCTTCCTTTCACATTTGTATATCAGGTTTACAAAATTTTATTGAGTAATAATATTAATATGTATCGGTTTTACGTAGTAAAATTGGCCAATCACAGTTATTCCATTCTCAGAGGAGTAGTCGTGATTGGTCAGTTTTAAAACGACGGATGTATTAAATCCGATTAAGGGTGACGTGTAAATGTAGTCTATGATCAGAGATTGAAATCGGTGTGATTTCGGTGAATTTGATATCATATAGATAATCTGATTTTTATGTCACACCAATTATCCCGTTTTCTTATTTTCACAAATAAAAAATAAATGCATATAAATAATTTTTGTATCATATATAACATATCAATATAGAATCTATCGAAAAATAATATGCGCTCTTAAACTTTTAAATCAAAATTATCATTAACCGATATTGACAATTCATGCCGTTAAAATCAAAATACGCGCAATTTTTATTTCTCTACGGTATTTTTTAAAACACTTTTTATATTTTTGTATAATTCTCGTGCGAGAAGAGAAAGCGTTTCTACAAAATGCGGATTCGTGTTTCTCTCACTGGGTTTAGTAGTAGTTCCGTGTGGAACATTAACTCTCGGGGTTTTTCTTTCTCCCCTCCCCCCTCCCTCCACCCCCTCTTTCCTCTTCCCCTTTCTCTCTCACTCTTTGCCAATCCTGCATGGTCCCGCTCCGGAGTTCAGCGGAATATTCCACGGGCGAATAGTGGCGTCCTTGTCTCATATGTCGAGATCATGTATATCCATCCTTGTTGTTCCTGCAGTGGACTGTTCCACCGTGTTACTACCACTCGTTCCCTACCATCTCGTTTCCCTTCGCCCCTGTCGTTTCCAATGCGTCCATACTGTCGATCACAGCGGGGCCTAGATATTTCGGCACCCTAATCGTAGAGAAAGGACTATACTGATTGGCGCAGAAAATTTTCTTTTTTTATATACGGATAAAATATCGAGCGAAAAAGACTTGTATGTTTCTTATTATAGCAAACAAAATAATACTAATAAAATTTTAAATTTTTTTACGTACCTCAAACATTCTTTATCGATCTATGTAACAATTTTACTATTTCAAAACATATTATAAAATAATTTTTATAAATATATCTTTGTAAAAAAACAAAAAATCATACGTAATATGTGTAATATGTGTGTATAACTTACAACTATATATAAAAGTTTGTAATTGTAAAGAACTGTGTATATATATATATGTAGAATAAATTCACATATATGATTTCATTTGAAATTGTCTTCTCCGGGCAGTTGCAAAAATTCACCAGCTGTATTCTCGAGAAACACTTTAGCTCGTGGTTTCTACGTTATCAAAATCGCCGGTATTGTATTTTAATTCCTATTGTGAAAGTCTTAACAATTCTCATCGTAATCTTTATGATTTTTTGAAACTTGTTCGTGTTTCCAGTTGAATACCCAAGTGTATATATCGAAGATTGCTTTTTCGGGAATACATCAGAGATTCCTTTTTTTAATTTATCGTCTCTGTTATTTTTTGTAGTGCTTTTTATTTTTGCTGCTAATTTTGTTCATATTGTATTCTGTGTAATCAGGAAAATTTGATTTTTTTGACAGAGATATATTTATAAAAATTATTTTATAATATGTTTTGAAATAGTAAAATTGTTATATAGATTGATAAAAAATGTTTAAAGAGCATATGTTGAGTTATATTGTTATCACAATTTACAAACTCGTACAAGTTCTTCGCGTGCGATTAGTATATTTTATAAAACTTTTAGATATATTTAGATATAAATTGTTGTGTACGTATACTTATATATCAATATAAAATATAAAATAAATTTAAATGTTGCATATGAAGACTAAAGATCCTATTAACTAATTAAATTTATCTGTGAAATATAATCTAATTGTAAGTACACTCTTAAAATTTCATTCACTATTCCCGACAAATACAGTCCTACAAATTAAAAACATAACATGAGAGATACATATCTGTATTGTATCTCATTTTATGAAGAGCATCCCGAGATCGAAATCTCTCGTTCGGTCAACCTGCTGTAATAGAAATTTACATCTCGTTTACGTTTGCCGAATGTGCAAATAAAAAAGCGCATTTGACGCTATATGACTGGTCAGAAAATACAGGTTGAAGTGTCAATATCGATCTACCTGTTTATAGCAGGATCGTCTCAACAAACGACTACCGTTTCGGCTCTTCGCCTTCGCAATGTTTTCTTTCTCTCTTTGTTCCCTCTACCCCCTCGTTGCCTTTCTTGTCCTTCTCTTTCTTTGCTCACTTCAATTTCTCTCTTTTGCTGTGCATCTTCTTTCTCTTATCCCCCTCCTCATCCCCCCTCTTTCCACGACTCCGGTTTTCTTCCCCCTTCTCTCTCTCTCTCTCTCTCTCTCTCTCTTTCTCTCGTCCAACCCGTCTTTCGTTCCTTTGCCGCTTTACGACTCCTCCCCAACACACTTCTCCCTTTTCTCTTTCGCCCCTACCGCTACTCTCTCATGTTGCTGCCTCTCGCCCCTCTTATCCGGTTATTCTTTTTCTTTTTTCTTTCTCATGTTGTCCTTCTTTCTCTTTCTCTCTTGGCCAGAGTCGGATTTGCAGATGTCAAAGCCTCAGAACGATCAAGATCTGAACGATTTTACTA